TTATGGTTGTATTACATAAAAGTTAACAAAATTTATTTCAATATAATAAATATAGTTTTGGAGGGAAAATGATATTTTTTCTAGCTGCTTAGCTTTAATATATATATAGATATTTAGGGAAGTTTCAAAATTAGGTACGTCACCCTAGGAATGTATAAAAAAAAAAATATTGTATTGGAATTTTGTTATATTATTGTATTTTTTAAAATTGACGAGGACAATCTATATATATATATATATAATTTGTTGGCAAACTTTAATAATTTTTATTCAGCTCGTAATTAATAATAATAGTTGTTCATTTAATAAAAATATGTGTTCATTTAATAAAAATATGTAATTTTCAGTTACACGATTTATTTTGACATGCCCCATTTTAGATAGTGTTCATCTATGTAACGTCTTTTTATGTTCTGAAATACAAAATATTTTTGTTTTTATTTTGATATTTTATATATTTTGATATTATATAAATACATATTTCATAACTAATTAAGAACTAGTAAAACACCCGTGTATTACACGGGTGCTTGCTAATTTTTTCTTAAAAATTAAAATTAATGAGAAAAAAGTAATTTGAAAATTTAAATACCTTTTATAAGAATATATATTATTATATATTTATTATGACACTTTTTATTTGTGCGACTTACTTGTATTATATTATACTAATTTTTTTAACTTACAATATATAACTACATTAAATATAAATATATCAATTGAGAAATAATTTTATTTTTCTAATGAATTTTGATAAATATTATTATAAAGATAAATATAATTTATTTATTTCATATATATATGGATGTCAAATCGAAGATCATCAAAAGATGATTAATTTGATATATTATATATGTAAAAAATCGATAATAAATACAAAAGTTATCAACTTTTAAAATAAATTTATAATTCAATAGCTTATTGAAGAAATCAAATCAAAATTCAGGGATATATTAGTCACTTAGTGCCTCACTATGTAAACACAAAGAATTAAAGGGTTATATTAGTAAAAGTGATATTAAAATACCTAAGTTAGCTAAATAATATTTATGGAATACCCGAACCTAGATAATTAATTATTAATATATCAATATTATTTGTCCAAACCTAATTACGAAGCATGATTCTTCGCCAAATAGGATTCCGAAGCACCAGAAGAAGCCACGTAGACTCAGCGCATTCGGTAATTATATATAGGGAGGATGACTACAAATATCTCGATTTTATCTTGCAGTCATACAATAATAAAAAAAAAAATTTTTTCGGATATTACAAATATACATCAAATATTTTGAAAAATCAAATCTCATTCAATAAAACTCTCCTCCAAAATGCCTGCAATATATTTAAAAATTTTAATATTATATGCATAAATATAACTTATAATACTCTATGTTTAAAATCTAATATCATTATCTAACTTATATTTTAATATTATATGCATATAAATAACTTATAATATTCACATAATCGAATAATATTGAATGTCTAGTTTTTATTTTCTTTTTGTAAGTTTCATGAAAGACGTACACTAACCATGGTTTTAAAAATCGGACCGGACCAGTCTTCATTCTGGTCCGATTTGCTACATCAAACCGCTAAGCATGAAAATCGGTCATGAACCGTGCAAACTAGTCCAAATCAGTCGAACCAACGAACCGAGACCGGTTCGAACGGTTCCCCAGGCAAGCTTTTGAATTTGAGATTGGTTGATTGTGAAGTGATTTAAATAGAACAATTTTTTTACTTGTATTTTCACTATAGGATATGTTTCCTTACTTAAAATATTTGACCAATATTGGCCCTTACAAGCAAATGACAGTCATTAAAAAAAAATATACTATTTTTTAAATTGGATTATCTATTGGATTGTATTTCTTCTCAATTTATCAAAAAAAAAAGGAAGCAATTTATTGGTATTTGTTATGCACATTATTTTTATTTTTTTTTTCTTAATCAATAATAATAAAAAAATTGTTATTTAAACTGCAAATATGGTTGTTTTTAACTTAAATATAAACTAAACTTTTAAATATATATAAAAAAAAAAATTATCAACATTATTCAACATTGTCAGTTGTATATATTATTGAACTATTATTTAGAGAATTATCATATACTATAAAATTAATGATATATATATATATGTATATAGCTATATATTATACATATAATATAAACAAAAAATGTATATTAATTATAACGGTTCAACCACTAATCCCACCACTGAACCATTCAATGAACCAATAACTATTCAATGTAAATTTTTAAAATTAAATTTGAATTATCAAATTTTTTATAAAGAAATTCAAAATAATAAGAGTCTATACATAGGGAAATTTTCATCCCTCATGTAAATAGGGAAATTTTCATCCCTCATATATACCAAATTCAAGTAAATAGGGAAATTTTCATCCTTCATGCCCGAAACACAAATTATTGGAAAAATACCATCCACACAAAAGATATTGTGACTCTATCTAGTTGTCCAAAATTAACTACATAAATGCCTAAAATTCAGTTACATAGAAGTCGGACTCCATCCAATTATCTCTCGCGTGATTTGCAGCAGGTTTCTAAAAAAAAGGAATGGCTTCATGAATATGGAACTGAAATCATGAGTATAATGGTTTTTGCGTTTCATATGGAAATATAGGAAATACGAGGTTGAAGCTTTCTCATCATCACTAAGCAGTACGATACACAGAAAAATATGAAACAAACGATCGAATTTTTCATCCAGATCGATTCACTTAAAAAAGAAAAAGTTAAATTTAAATTTACAATATACTCTTCTTCACACCACAGAACGATTAACCCAAAAATATACTGCAAAAAAGCGATTGAGGACGCGAAAATTTTCAGCAAGATTTTGCTTAAGTTGGAAAAAAAAAAACGGAGGGGGGTCGATCGGACTTGTGTTGAGGACGTTATATTTTATCGTAAATATAAGTAAAATATACCCAAAAAAACGAGGTCGTGAAATTTTATAAAGAAAAAAAAAAGACGGGATAATCATAAATAGTTCTAGTTTAATTTAGTTTATTGACAGTATATTTCTAGTTTAAAAAAATATTTTTTACGTATTATTAATAGTATATTGTTCACGTTTTTTATTAACAATATATTTACAATATATTTTATGTATATGTTTCAATATTTTTCACATTTTATTAACAATATATTTAAACATAATACCGGCTTAGTATATGTTGACAAAATGAAATGTGTTGGACACACCGACAGTGATATATACTTGAAATATACAGATCACATGTCAACTGTTACATAATTGAAACATGTCCCAAATTATATGATAAGTGTATACTTTGTAAGTATATGAATCTGATTAGTTTATTAATACTTTATCACATTGTCATATACTTATCATGTACCTGATATAAAACCAACACCTACTTAGCATAAACTTGATATAAATCCAACACTACTTAGCATAACTTGACAGAGAGTAAAATTTTCAATATACTTGGAATAAGACCATTACACAAATGTGTCTACACAC